TAAACTCTTCCCCTCTGATGCGCGTTGAGCAATATATGCCCCGGATTGCAGTCAATAAGGCTATTCTTGGGGACTCAGCATATACAGAAATGCCTGAATCCTTCACCTCATTTCTGAGTAAAGCACAGAAGATTGATTCTTTTGCTGCTGAGCAAAGAGAGAAGGTTAAAGAGAAGGGTATGACTGTTGCTGAAAATATGCTATGGACAATTTCTGAGGATGATATATTGCGTGCTGATGGTCGCGCATATGTCCCTCAACAAAAGGCACTCATTGATGAAATTATCAGTGCAAACCATGATGATCCGCAGGGGGGTCACTTTGGTATAAAAAAGTCCATAGACAGCATCCAGGACAAATACTATTGGCATGGGCTAGTCAGGGATGTCAAAGATTATATATCCACTTGTGATACTTGTCAAAGAGTTAAGCCAAAACGGCACAGACAATATGGAGAGTTGGGTACAATTCCCTTACCATCAAATCCTTTTGAATCCATTACTATGGATTTTATTACAGGCTTGCCAGCCTCTACATTCCTCCACCAAACCTACGATGCGATTTTAGTGATTGTGGATATATATACCAAGTTTACGATCTATATTCCTTGCACCAAAAACATTACAGCGGATGAGCTAGCGGAAATCGTTTATACCAAGTTCTATACAATTTACGGAGTACCTAAAAACCATATATCCGATCGAGGTTCGCTGTTTACAAGCCATTACTGGTCCACCTTTTGTTACATGCTAGGCGCACGCCGGAAACTTTCGACAGCCTTTCACCCTCAAACAGATGGCCAAACGGAACGACAGAATCAAACCTTGGAACATTATCTCCGATGCTTTGTCAACTATCATCAAGATGACTGGGCACGCTGGCTACCACTAGCACAGTTTGTTTACAATACCTCTCAACATGCCTCTACTGGAATGGCACCCGCGGAAGCCTTAATGGGATATCGACCTGATTTGAAAATTAACGTCAGCAAACCACCACAACCGGTTGCCATACATGCTGCTAGCCGCGCGAAACATATTGAGGAAACACGCCACAAGCTCATCGAGAACCTACAAAAAGCACGACAAGCACAGAAAATCTATTACGATGCAAAACATAAGCCTCAACAATTTAAAATAGGTGACTACGTCATGCTCAATGCAAAAAACCTCCGATTACTACGCCCGGTTCGTAAACTCGACCATAAATATGTTGGACCCTTCAAGATTCTGAATACCATCGGAAAACAAGCGTACAAACTGGAACTGCCACCTTCATATAGAAACATCCATCCTGTATTCCATGTTTCTTTATTGGAGCCATACAACCGCAGGAATGGAGCTTTACCAGAACCAGGACCGGAACTTGTCGACGGCGAAGAAGAATACCAAGTTGAGGAAATTCTTGAAAAACGACAACGAAAAAACAAACCTCCGGAATATCTTGTGAGATGGACAGGTTGGGGACCTAGTGGTGATACATGGGAACCGGAAGAAAACATATTAAACACTCAGGCATTCGAAATCTTCCTTGAACAAGAAAATGAACGACAAATACAAAACCAACATACTCCCAAACGCCAAAAGCGCAAATCTCAAGTTGAAAAACGCTAGAAGCGCAAATCTCACCCAATACTCCTTCCGGTATTCGTAAATTACCGGCACCCATTTTGGGCGCAGAGGTATAGGCAAATGCCTATCCCACAGAACATTTGCCTCCTCACTCCTCCCCTCCCCCATCAACCTACCCATTCTCCGGCACATCCGGTTAACGAAGGCATTCCCCCCCATCTTCTCCTCCCACTCCTCCACCGTCCGGGGCACCCGCTCCCCCTGCTCCACAGACGCCAATGGCACTGCGGCCACCGGCGCCTTCACAACCTCCTCCATTGGCTCTCCAGCCAGCTCCTCTCCCGTCAACTCCTCTCCAATCAACCCCTCCGCCACGGAGCCCCCGGAGCTCAACACCTCCAAAACCCCCACATCCTCCTCCACACCCTCCTCTTCCTCTAACACCTCTGCCCTGGAAGGACCAGGCACAACGTTCGCACGGAATCCGACTGTTGTACGTCACGAGATTAGGGTTAAAGCTAGGGCAACAGAACAAGCGAACAGCGAATGATGCTATACTGGAACAAGCTAGTGAAGCATGTGACCACGCTAATAACGCCACTGACAGAGAACACCAACAATAATACGCGAAGAACAACTTACTTAAAATCGGGATATCCGAGGGAGCCCATTTCAACAAAAGGGGGGGGGAGGGAGAACGAAAATTTTATTGAATTAAGAACGAAAAATCGCAGCAGGAGGGCAAAGAGTTTTGATGATGGTCAAGTTAAAAAAGAAGAGAAATTTTCAAAGGAAAAGAAATTCTTTTTGTTTCTCTGCACGCAACCCCTAGCAACCAAAGAATCCACCAATTCTACCTCATTAAGGAATCGATAAGAACGCGTATACAAGCTATTGAGGGGACGCGATCGATACACTGCTATCAACAAGCGGCATCTACAATACGGAAATGCAAACATATACTAGCAAGCAATCTATACAATCGCTGAGGGCAGCTCTTATAAAAAAGGGGGGCAATTGTAATGCACTCGTTTATTATTTCCTTATTATTATATTATCTTTGTTTATATCTTCGTCTATTCTTACCTCTTTCCATTATACTCTCGCTACCACTATTTCTGTATGTATATATATATGGATGCATGTATTTCGCACATCTTCTTTCTCTTTCTTTTCCTCTTCAGCGATTAGCTACAACTACAACTACAACTACAACTTCAACTTCAACTATACTACTACTATAATTATTATTATCTTCCACTACACTATATACTATCTTCTACTATTCACTCTTCACACTGTCATCACCCCTCACATATTCAAACTGATTCAATTATTTCTGAATCTATTGTTAATTTTTCAATCATTTACAGCTGTCAGTCTGTTCTCTGCAGCTTCTACTTTTATATTTGTTATTGTCAATCATTTAATTTTAATTGAATGATTGTCTACTGCTTTGTCTGCAAAGCTAAGCATTGAATTGATGAATGTGTATATGAGTTGTTAAAGACTCTTTCAATGTTTTTCATATGCTGAGATGCTGTAAGACTGCTATCTGTCAAAAAACCTTCATCAGAGTTATATGAATTCTTTAATGATGATATAATTAATGTAAACTATTTCTGCAAGTATATTCAAAATTACAATTCTGTTTTGATATTTACATCTTTTAAATACAAGCAGAATTCACATCTGAATTGTCTGATTATTGATTATTTGATATCATTTCAAATACAAAGAGAATTCTATCATCTGCAAAAGCTGTTAAAGTCTAAATCAGATGAAAATATTTATTTTACACAAATGTAAATTCACAATCTGCAGTTTAATGTGAATATTATAAATGATGTGAATTTTGCTATACATTCTAATGTGTTTAATCATATCTATATTGTGTTGTTTGCTGTTTGTTCATTTGCTTTTCCATGTTCTTCTTTTATATTGTTGACTGTTAACATTTTTAACATTAAATTTTTTATTCAATTTTATCAGTCTGCATGAGAGATACTACACAGCAGTTTTATTGTGTGTATTGATTTGAACTCTATTCTACAGCTGAAGACAGGCAATGACTACTGCTGTGAGAATCTATCTACTGTTTCAGAGATTGCAGTTGTTCTACAGAACACTTTCAGCAGCACTCATCATTTTCATATCATTTTTTTAACATTATAACAGCTCAGTGCTGATTTGAGCTTCATATATATTGATTTTTACAATTCATTATATTGTGCACTGCATTATATTTTACTTTTTTCTTCTGAAGATTATGATTGATACATTGATATGAATGTACTTATATTTGCAGATTTTCCATCTTCCTGCAACAACTTTAATGATAATGTTGATGATGATGCTATTGATGATGAAGATGAGTGTGATAGCTGTAATCTGACTCTGCATATATAATATGCATATCATCTTTCTCAATGAAATGGTGTTGATGCTCGTCT